TAAATTTTTTTTATGCAACTTTTATGAAATATGGGAAATATGAGATAGAGATAATAATGCTTAGAATGAAAATTTCAGATAGAAAATGCAGTGTGAAATGCATGTGAATGAGATTTTTTTTTTTTAATGCAATTTTAATATGAGATGGAAGATGTATTGTAATGAACATGAGTGGAATTTTACTTTTTGCAATTTTTGGTGAAATATGAGATGAAAAATGAAATGTAAAATGGATAAAATGGAGAATGTCACATGAGATAAATATGAAAACATGTTTTCTGATGCATTAGATGGAAAATGCAATGCAATGGACATATGACATGAAATTTGCAAGACATATGGAAGATTTAATGTGAAATGAGTGGGATAGATATACGACATGTGAAACAATCATGAACTTTTTTTTTTGTTTTATCGTTTTTTTTTTTTATGCATGGGGTTGAAAGTGAAGATACCAAGTGCATGGAATGCTCTTCACCTCAAGAATGATGTCTAAATGCAGAAGATAAATAACTAGTCATACCTCAAATGTATATAAAAACGAAAACCTGTCATATGCGGAAACAAGGTTAATGAAGTAAAATGCCCTTTTTGTCTTAAACACGGGACGCCTAACCTCACGGGTGGGATGCTAAGGGAAACATGTCCTAGGGTTGGTATCTCTCTAAGGCCACTACATGTTTTCCTAAAGGGCGTTAAGCCTTCTCAACCATTTATCCTTTCGGAATCAACGGGAGATATTTCCAAAAGCTAATACACAGAATGATATTACATCATCAAGTGTCATATTAACCAATGGAAACAACCTAACAGGAATCGATCTTACTTCTCAAAGCGGGAAGAATTGCTCTTCCAAGCCAGATTCATAAGGATTCTAGACTAGAGGTCGGGTTCACCTCCAACACGGACCTAATGCAAAATGAGGGTGAGTATGTACAAAGGAGCATGACACTCTAATAACCTACACAATGACAACCACAAAAATAACATATATCCTACGGCAATCAAATAAAGCATGTAAAGCACTCAACAAATATGTCATCCACAAACAAACCTACTTACACAGAAGGAAGGGACTCACCTAGTACTCCCGTGCCAAATGCAAAAGGTTAGTAACACAAATCAACCAACACTTAGCATGCAATAAGATATAAGTAATCGCACAAGAGGGAAGAGACTCATTAAGTACTCCATAGCCAAATGTAAAAGGTGAGTATATCCACACACAAGCAAGTAGGCATGTAAGCATGATGCATGATGAATAAGCATATAATATCAATGTTGGATGAACATGTGAGATGATATGATGCATGAACACGTGAGCAAGGTATGATGCATGTTAAGATCTAGCAAGGTAACTACTCAAAGACAAAAACGATCAAAGCAACCACTAAAACAATGAGCAAAACAAACAATAAGCAACACACGACAAACACATACAATAAATAATAAAAACCCACAAAGACTCAACAAACATTGAAAAGATCAAAGGTTGAAAATTCCCCAAAGTTAAAGTATTAGCTCGACCCTCATGAACCCAAAATATAGAAACTAGAGATTCTGGATTTTGTCCCCAGTGGAATCTCCAATCTATTGACGACCACTTAAGATTTTTTCAAAACAATGAAAAATCAAGTGTAAAATATAAAAGAGAAGGGGAGTCACCACTCGTCCAAATTATAAAGTGGGACAAGTCACCTACAACGGATCTGCATAGAGATTAAGGTTCGGGGGTTCGGTTAGGAGTGAGGAATGGCATACGCGCACCTCACAATCCTTCGTTTAAACATAGTTACATACTTTAACATTGGGGGTTTTGATTCGACTTATTCATCATGTTTATGTTTGAGTCTTAATATGCAAACTTAAAAAAAAGAGATAAACCAAATTGAAACACTTTTAAATTTTTGGACTAAAATGAACAAAATCAAGACATGCATGCACCATGAACATAAATAAAAATTAAAAGGACTAATTTGATAAAATTCAAAAGATAAAGGACTGATTTGATTAAATTTAAAACATGAAGAATTGATTTGAAAAGAGTTGAGACCATGAACTAAATTGCTTGATTATAAAATTTTTGGGTGAAATTAAAATAAAAATAAAAGATAACTTTGACTTTGATCAAATTAAAAGAAATTAAATGATTAAGTAAATTAACTATGCTCATTAATCTAATTAAATGATTAATTTAATATTAATTAAAATTAATTAAAATTAAATAATCATAATTATTACCCTTTAATTAAGATCATTAAATAAATCTAATAATCTCAAATTAAGATCAAATAAATATGATTAATTTATTTTAATTAAAATTAATTAATTTCATTAATCATAAATTAAACTAATTAACTTAATTAATTACTAATTATACTTAATATGTATTTTTTTTTGTTTTAACCTTTTTTTAATTGGATCGGGTTGGATCAAACCCTCAACAAAACACAACCCAAAAACACAATCCTTCAAACAGATAAACACAAAACAGATCAAATCTTGAACAAAAACCGAAATCCAAACGACATGAAGAGAAATTTAGAGTTCATCATTTTACTTCTCATTTTCAGCAAGAAACACCTTCATCAGGTAAAATAAACAGAACAATCTTTGATTCCCATTCATTTTCCAGCAAATAAATACAAGCTTAAATACAGATCTAAACAAAATCAACAGAAAATAACAGAAACATCCACGGCGGAATTTTTAGAAGGAGGTATGTCCAGATCGGAAAGGAGGGATCCACCCACGGGATCAGGCTCCGTTCGTCTCCTTCACTACCTTTTCCCAAAATCCCTCTGTTTCAGAAAATACCTTCAGCAATGAAACCCAGAAAATGAAGCTCCTCTGGAAGCTCGGTGATCCTTCCTCTCAACCACCGTTGTTGCCCCCTTTCTTCTCCAGTAAATCCCCTTCTATTGCTCTCAAAAACTCAGACGAAACTCCTCAACAAAGAGACCCAAAATCAACCAACCATCACCCAAAGCAAACTCCAAAACTTCACCAACCACCCCCCTCCAGACCTGCTTTTTGCTCTATATATATACACAAATAACATTAAAAAAAAATTTCTCTAAGGATGCTCATTTGTCCGGTACTCCTTGTCTTTTCTGCATGTGAGGCAAGGATGGGCGCTGCAGCAATCAGCGGTGCAGAGGCGCGGGATTGGGGGTGAGGCGCGGTGTGCAGGTAGGCAGGGGCATGGAGTGCTGATGATGGCTCGGGCGTGCAGGGGCATCATTGCCGGCAGTGGGGCGCAGCAAGGCAAGCAGAGTGCAGGCGATCTGGTGCAGAGCGCAGGAGCTGGTGCAGAGCAAAGCTGGTGCAGGAAGCAAGGCCGGGCGCAGCAGAGTGCAGGCTGGGGCAGAGTGCAGACGATCTGGGCGCAGAGCAGGGAGCAGGGAGCAGGGGCGTAGGTGCAAGGCTCGGGCATAGGTGCAGGGCTGGTGCAGCAAGGCTAGGCGTGCGAGGGGGCGACGATGGCTCGGTGCAGAGGAGCTGGGCGCGGTGCAGAGGGGAGAGGAAGCTGATTCGGGTGTGCAGGGAGAAGGCTAGCACGGTGATGGCTGCTGGTGCAGGGGCAAG